AATCCAATCTCACGAAGTCAGAAGCCGACCGGAAGGTCGCTGCCGAGTACGTCGACAAGCAGTACAAGAAGGTGCAGCGATCACTGGAAGGACTGGTTGAGATTTCCAAGGACCCCCGTGTCATGTCTGTGCAAGTCATCGGGAACGGTGACCATTCCGGGTACTCATTGCCGCCATCTTACAACCGTGAGATGGGCAAGCACATCAATTGGTTGGCAGAGCGTGGCATTCAATGTGTGAACTCCACTATGCTCGCTCAGGGTGGGAAATACGACAACTACCACCTGTACGACCACCAATTTAACCGGAAACTGGTTTATCGTTTCTTGAGAGGAGCCATCACCTTCCACCTCAAATACGTTGAGCTCCTGTCGAAGCAGGACGATCTCAGGTACTTTGTGCAGGAGTTCATCAGCAACGAACAAGACCGTGTGGCCGCGGTCCATCTCTTCCCCACGATGGTTCAGTTTCGTTTGGCTTTGCTCGGCACTCAAGAAGTCATGGAAGCCGTCTCCACCGAGAAGAAAACGGCAACCCCAGCCCAGGTCTTCGACGAGGCAGATGAGGAGATCCTCATGTGGGTCCATGCAGGAATTCTTGAGGCCAACGAGGAAGCCACCCGGGAGGGAAGGCCGATGCCCACTGCTTTCACTGATGAAGAGATCAGCTCCATCGTCCCAATTGACCCTTCGATCGAGGATTACGAAACCGAAGAAGTCAGGGCCCGACAATACCTTCAAGAAGATTTGAATCAGGCCGTGGCTGATGGTTTCTCAACTACAACCATTGAGTCGATCGAGATCAATCCGGAGAACACTGATGTCGATGACGATGTTGAAGTCGTTCCCGAGTTTGATGAGTGGGACGTGATCCTTGATGAGAAGATCATTGTCAATCCCCATGACGAGAAGGTCAAAGAAGATGAAATCTCGGAGGAAAGAGCCAAGGAGGTTGAAGATCTCAACAAGATCATCGAGATCACATCCACTGAGGCAAAGCCTTCGGGAACGTCGGCCGATGACCCTGCTGCTGCAAAAGATGCACCCGCAAAGGCTGACAAAGGGGGAGAAGACATGACTTCATCGAGGGTTTCAACATGGAGTGTGGTTGGTGGTGATGAATCCAAGCCCAGCGGCATGACTTCTTCCAGGATCTCAACTTGGACCGAGGTTGGTGGATCTGAAGCCACTGCCATGGACGTTGACTCTGAGAAGAAGGAAGGTGCTGATGCTGCCCGGGAGGGTGTGCCGACTGATGCTGCAGTTCCTGAGGCTTCTGCTTCTTCCGAACAGCCTGCTGACAAGACTGCCATTGTCGACCTGACCAAGACCGAGAAGAAGGTGGAGGTTGACAAGCCAGTTGGAAAGCCGGCCGAAAAGAAAATGCCGAAGAGTGAAAAGCAAAAGGCACCAGAGTCAAAAGCGCAGCCCAGACAGAAAGCGCCACGACTCAGTGTCGAAGCTGATGCAGCCCTTCGCAAATTGGAAGAAGCGACGGAACGCCAAGAGGGATCAGTATGGTTGGACCCCAATGACATGATCAACAGGATTCCCAAGGAGTATTGCGGCCAAGGGCGACTGAGATTTCTTTCCACAAAGTTATCTTATGTTCTCCGAGGACACGCATTGAGCTATGGTGCTCGCAGCCCAGACATCGATCCCATGGATCTTTCGATGGATTTCGAGGCGGTGATGAAGACGATGGCCCACTACGTCTCCTACCCGAAGATCAGTGAGGTCCTGTCCATCGTGCGCAACAGTGACACCAGGCGCTTTCAGGTGAAAGTGGCTCAGCCCGATTTGCCTGATGCAACCTGGAAGGGTTTGCCATGGAAGGTTGTCGCCATCAGAGCTGTCCAAGGACACAACCGTGCAGTGGTGGAAAATGCCAAAATTTCATCGCTGGTGAAGGAAGTGTTTACTTTGGATCCAACCTTTACCAAGGCTGACCTCGACACGCCCAAGTTGCCGAGGACAAATCTTCGTCCAGACCTTGTGCCGGAGATGCTGGCTGCACTTCCAAGGATTATCTACCATAGCTGCGACAGGCTCGCTATGGACAAGATAGTTGAACATGGTCTCATCCCAGGTGGCTGGCCCCAAAGGACAGGAAGGGCGCATAATTTCTTTATTGCGTCGCATCCATGGGATGATTCAGTCGGTGGCAGAAAGCTCGCGGGAACGCGAGCCGGGAAGCAATATTACATTGCCTTTGACACCGAGCTCATCGTTCAAAGCGGCTGCCGATTGTTTCGTACAGACGAAGCAATCATAAGCCCTGACTGGATCTCCAACGAGAACATCATTTGCACATATGATGCTGTCAACAGGGAGTTTGCCTGGGTGAATCGCCCCTATGAGATCACGCGTGTGGGGTACAACAACAAAATGAAGACCCACAAGGACCAGGACACTCCGAAGAGAGAAGCACTGTCAAAGAGCCCGTATGCCAACGCCAGGGACAGTTTGAAGGCCTACCTCATGAGCGGCAAGTCCATTCGACCCGGCCAGATGCAGGTGACCGACTCTCCAGAAGAGCTTCCCCCACTTCTTCGTCGACGTGAAGGAACTTCAGGACCCTTTGAGGACAGAGTGACGTTGAAGATGGCCTCCTTTGGTGCCTTGTCCAATGCTGAGACCATTCGCAAAGGCAAGGGCCGGGGAAAAGGCAAGGGAAAAGGAAGCCGCCCGGGAGGGCAGGCCCAGCGCTCAACTAATGCTGAGGATTACATCTACAGCTCAAAGATTGAGATGCAACAGGTCCGATGCCACTTCTGCGGCGAACAAAACATTGAGGGCACCCACAAATGTCAGTCGTGCTTCAAATGGCTGATTGCTTGGTCGGATGGAAGAATTGCGACGGAGGTATGCCGGATGGAAATCTCGGCCAAGAAAACCAACAAGGTATTTTCTCTGGACAAAATCGACTTTGAGAAGCAGCCTCGAGCTCAGCGGGTCTCCGACCGCACCCGAGCAGATCAACGTCGAGCTGGACGAAGCAACTTCGGAAATCTCAAGGACGCTGCTCAGACACATGCGGGGAGATACACGAAGCTCGGCTTCAAGTCGATCCAGGACCGCATGGAGAAGGACCCATTTTATTTGTTCAACAATGCGGTCGGCCAGATCACTCCCGACTGTTGCCAATTTTTGGAGGACTTGGCAAAATGCATTGCCCCTGATGTCGGCCGTACCCGAGAGAAGCGAGAAAAGCAGCTGGGAACAGGTGTCAGCACTCGTTTGATTTTTATGCCAGACTTCAACAGAGACATCCGACTCCCGTTGGACGTTACAAAGGAAGCCATGGTTGCACATCATGCACGAGTTTTTACACTCCCACAATTTGCTGTTCTTGCTGCGGACTTGCTGAAAGCGAGGGGGGAACCCACGCCGATGTTATTTGGTTGGTCTGGCTCTATGATGCCTGTGGATCAAGGGTCAGCCCAAGATTGCTTCTTCGACCTTGTCGACTTTGCGAAAAGGCAGTGGAAGGAGCAATACAACATCAAGGGTGAGGAATACTCCTTCGTTGATGAAGCCACTGCATCAGATGTGGCTGAATTTCCATTGGCAAGGTCCTCCAAGACGGGTACTGGCGAAGGGCGAGAAGGATACCGGCGTCACTTTGACCCGATTCAGAAGCCAGCCAAGGGCAAAGGAAAGGGTTATGGTCAGCAACAGCGCCCAATCTTTCAGCAGGCCATTGAGTGCTGGAAGTGCGGTCAGTATGGCCACAAATCCTTTGAATGCCGCAGTGGATGGAACCGAGGGCAACAGTGGGGTTCGTATGGATCTTACCCAAGCCGCTCGGGAGGGCAGGCCCAATGGCAAAGCTGGAATTGGAATCAGGGCTACTCTGGCCGAGGTTGGACTGCTGATCCTTGGGGAAGATCTTCAGCATCAAGCTCCTCGGCAGCTCCTCCGGAGCCAGTGCGGCCACCATCAACAGCGACGCCTGTGCCTGACACAACACCAGCTGCTGGCGATTCTGCCCAAGCTGCCTCTGGATCAGCTACCGCAGCAGAGCCTCCACGACAGGTACCTCGTGCACCAGTTGTGATTGCTGAGGAGTACTGCGAGATCAACGGCCAGCCGCACTTCAAGCGCACCTACAATGATGGGACGGTAGAGTTTGAATCTTGGTAGATGTTTCACATCTTGTGCCATGATTTTATGCCTACTGGAAGGTTTGGCCGATTGGATGAAAGCTGACCCATGGTCATTCAGTTCAATCAAATTGCACACATTTCCAAATTGAAATTGAAATTCCAACTTGATTAACATGAAAAACTTTTCCCAATTGCTTCAGAAGAAATTGACACCAGCATCCGATCCAGACGATTTGCGTGTATATAGCCGTGTACATAGGCCTGATACAGTAGCTTTCAAGTCTCCAAGGCAGTGAAAGGAGTGGTAATGCTCCTATGCCTTGGCGGAAGCCAGGCCAATGTCACTTTTGCTTTGCTTTGCAGCCACACGCCATGTCAGGGTCCAAAACATTTGCATCCGACCTTTTTGCCTCATGCATCCGATGAGTTTGAGACTAGTTGCACGACTATGTATAGTTGCCAGTGATGTTCTTTGTTTTAGCTTGCCCGCTCTCAGGTCACATCTGGCGAGCGAGCTTCACCTCTCCGTCCTCCGCTAACTCTGCGGGGCGGCGGGGGGTGTTTTTACTTAGTCTCACTGGTTGTGTATATACTATATACGTCGTGCGTGGCTCAAGAAACAAGCGTCTACTTGTAGTTGCATTGTGGCTGGGTAGACCTGTAAAACAGTTTTATTCTTGGGTTTCCCACATTTGGGGATTTGTTGAGGATATGAAGCGATTGAAATGTGGGTTGCCTGTGAAGGTGTGAACTGATCACCAAAAAAATAGGGATTTGACCAACAGCAGCTAAATGCCGCGAATTACACCAAGAAAACTGCAGAATTCTCTCAGCAACATGGTAGGTTTGACCAGAGATTAGGCATCAGAAAACCCAGGGACTGGAGTTCCAGGTAACCCGGTCTTCCAGCCGACCGCTGGATGAAGGATCTTGGGGGGGCCTGGTGGAGTTAACGAAGTCTGATTCATAAGGTGTTCATCGGTCATGGTCAGAAAGTTGTACGGTTTTGAAGTGTTTTGAGACATTCCATGTGTCATTCTTGATATTTCTTGATGTGTAAAGCATTCTAGGATCGTAGGATCGTCTACAGGGGCGTGACTTGGGATGTGTTCACTGATTTTCGTGAATCAGAGTGGATCTGTTCATGTCGCCCCGTGAAACCGAAGATGAAAACTCGAGCAAACATGCCGTTGGAAGATCATGTCATTACTGGTCGTTTTCCAGTAGCTGGTCATTTTCTCAAAAAGGCAATTGGAAGATTAGCTCTTCAAAACATCAGACCATTAAACCCAAGGCCAGCAAAGATTATTTTACTGTACTTGAAAATTGGGGTTTCCACTATGATTTTCAAATTTTCCCATCCAAAATTTGTCATTCTTAATATATCTATCTATATCTATCTGAATATGGGATATTTTGGGATGTTTTGGGGGTACATCTCAAGAACCTTAGAGTGAGCATCGCTTCAGATCCCTTCGACATCTCTATGGCCGAGCTGATGGATGCGCCACACGGCGATGGAGCTAACGGATTGCTAACGGGCCAAACGGGCCAATCCAATGAGGACAGACATGAAAATATAGAAATTCCATCAAATTCCTTTTAAACGTTTGTGGCTTCTATATGACCAATGAAGTTTTCGAATAGCATTTTGAAATATTTCAAATGCATCGTTGTTTTTTCAGGCCATTCTTCAGGATTTTTGTTGCACCGGAATGACCAAGGCTCCAAGTCTTGCAGATGGCCACTGCAGAGGCATGGCTCAAAACCATACTCCATGGTGTTTGGGATTTTGGGTATTGATTTCCCTTTAATCCTTTTTGATCTTTTATATATTTATTATATTCCTGCTATTTTGAGATTGCCAAGGGTCCAAGGTGTTGATTCGTAGTATTTCGTAGTATTTTTTCCATTGCTGATTCAATGTAAAACCACTTTGAATCCCCATTCACTTTGATGATTTTAGGAGGACTTCGTTGAGGATTCGTAATGCTACATGAATCCTGTCAGTGGGAGGTGTGTGTTTACCTCACGGGATAGGCTAAAGATCTTGGCCAAGCCCCATATTTGAGCCATATCCATGTATAGCCACTCCGACAAAAAAAGTGGACACCTGGACACTAGGTGAAAATGATCTATAACATCCTGGAATACAAAATGTCTTTGCTAAGGGGTCTACTCCCCAAACTCCCGACCGGAAGATCTGCAAGGTTTACCACAAGTTTACCACCACTCCATTGCATGAAAGCCATTGGTTTCCTGCAAATTTCTCAGCCCACAGCCCCACCCTCTCCCAGGCAAAGCCTCGTGAAAAGGCGGGGACTCAGCCTAAAACTTTTTATGGGTTTGTCCGAAGATAGGGTACCCCAAAATTTTGTGGTGAATCCTCATTTTCCCCATGAAAATTCGGATTCTAGGCATCCTCCCTCCATTTTCAGACAGAGTTTGACAGAGTCTAAACAGGTCAGTGAGGAACATCTTCCCCTTTGAGACTGGATGCAGAAGCCCTTTTGTCAATGCCAGATGGAACACAACAGGATCGATTGCGAAGACGATTGGACTTGGACGAGGATGGCTTGACGCAATGGAGGCTTTCTGGCTTCGGGAACCTGACAGCTCTCGAAGCAGATGCTGCAGATGCTGCAGTGGCAGAGGCAGCCCCCATCCCGGCACTGCCAGATGAGCCGTTCACCCGATCGCGTTCTGGAAGGCGTGAATGGCTGACTTTCAACAATTGGTTCGGAGCCAATTGAGTGAAGATGACAGAGTTCAAACAGGTTACTCACCTAAAAGAGCTGCAACTAATGCAACTAACCCCATTGAATATCAAATTCAGGTGAGAATCGAACGATGATGCCGCGCGGTGAGCAAAAATTATATGCCATAATACACCTTCAATGTGGGCGGCTTACACCACATGTTTCTGGCAAATCTTCCTGGACGGTTTTAGATGGGTCAATCCCACGTTAGTGGTAGCTTGTATTCTGAGTGAATGCCGGTAAATCCGCCATTTCCTTCTTTATATCCTATTTCAATTCCCATTTATGCCCTGATCCCTGCTGCCCAACCCCTCTCCGTGGTTCTGCCCGGTGCTGCTGGGGGTTTATGGGTCAGAATTCTTTATATTGTCGGCTTGATGGTGGTCAAGAACAGAAATCATTAATAAACAAATTTTTATGAAGTGTTATTATTATTATCAGGTCACCTAAATCTGGTTAGTACAGGTTCTATCCACCATTTAACATACGAACACCACTTATGGGTCACTATCCCAAAATGGCTTCATTTCAGTTCGCAGGGTGGCCATGGGAAGATGGCCTTATTTCAGTTTAGTGAGTTAGAATTTCTCCAGATGAACGAATCAACGAAGGAATCCATCAAACAACCAACCAACTAACCAATCAATCAATCAGTCAATCGAGAACTTATCAAAAGTGCCCTGCCTCGAGGCTGACTCGATAGATTTTTCTGAGTCCATCGCGCAACTTCAAGAGGCTCTCGGTGAGCTGGGATGTTCATCAGGAATGCTCATGATCTGATGGTGATTTAAGCAGAAAAAATGGGATTTAACAAATTCTCAGGATAACTATACTCTCAGAGATCAAGCAAAATGTTGCTATGAACCTTCAATAGTGAGGATACTGTCATTAAATGTTGGTTGGTTCATGCTTGTAAGCGCCTGCAGCTAATGATTGTCAGAATGATCATCAAGCAACAGGCTTATACTGAGTTGGTTTATACCTGAGATTCATTTGCGCACAGTTCATTTCTGGTAATTTCACCAGTCCCAACAAGTGGGGATTCTGATTTGATTATGTCGAATAGGCCATAGCCATCCAGAGGGCCCCTCAATGGTCATGTTTTGTTTGGGGATCGCTGTATATTAATATTTAAAGCCAGGACTGAGAGTTTACCCAACACATTGCGTTGCGTTTCATGGAAGGCGTTTTCACTGGGTAGTTGCTGTGTTTTGTATCATCCCCTATTTCGAATGGAAAGACATACCATGCCCCGCATTGGTAAGTTCGAGTCGGATTTGATGACCCCTTGCGGGAGTGAGGTTAGCAATTTTGTCCCTAATGCAAACCTCAGTAGCATCATTGCGTGTTCCTTGGGCGTAGATGTAAAACCTAATAGCCGTATTGCTTGTTCCAACTGGGCATCAATGCATGAGTGCCCCCTTAGCAACGAAGGATAAAGACCGAAACATGAAGGGGATGACACATCTACTTGGTTCACACCAATGTATTTTTTCCGTAGGTGGTGGAAATGCTGAGCGGTGGTGGCGAGAAGAAGCCCACTACCAAGGACTGCATATCAATTGGGTGCCCTTGAGTGATTTGAGTGTTCAAGGGCGCTGGTTTGCTCTAGTTCAGAAGTTTTCACAAGTGTAAACTACAGGGTTCTTGGTTTATTTCTTCTATCGACCTCACTCATTTTCTATCCAGTTATCACTATGGTCAATTTTTTTACCAGTATGTCCGGTGATGGTTTAAGCCTCAAAACAAATTGGAAACATGAAGGTTACATCAGTTACATCCCCATTTTTGTAGCTTGTACCCTGCTGTTTCGTGTTTCAATCCCTTTGATTGTTGATTCCAGTCCATTGTTGTTGGTTTAACCCCGCTCTTCTTGTTTCCATTCCTTATGTTTTTCCGTTTAATCTCCCTAGTTTGTGCTCCTGCAACCCACATGTTTTCTTATTGAATTATTGAAATAGTTCCAGGTCCCTCGTTTCTGTTGCTTTCATCCCCATTTTTGCGACTGAAATCCTTATGTTTGGAACCAAACCTCGCAGGAAGCATTGCCCGGAGTGGACTTTGACCAGTCAATGGCAGATCTGCATGAGGCGGCCACATTGACACTCTTGGTTGATGCTTAGACCGATCCAAAAATGAGAATTCTGCCACCAAAAATGGGGATATCTATGGGTACAACTCTAGTTCGTACAGTGCTTATGTGTATGTTAAATCTATATTTATTGTTGCAACCATTTACTTGGTAGTGCGGTTTTAATCCCGGCTTGTACAATATTAAATATGTATAATATATATATATAGGGTTGGTTGCACATGGGTTCTGGTGAGAATATACCAACTAATTCTGACTGGTTGATGGTGAATGCATTTTACGGTTGGGGATATACTGACTGGTTTAGTGGGGGTTATGTTCGGATCCAATATGTGAATCCTGCCCTCAAAAAAGTAGCAGGGGATGGGAGACAGTTTTGGGCTCTATATTTTGGGCGGTCGCTCTACATTTACCAAAGTTTAGCAACACCCGAGCGCGGGGTAGTGTGGAGATCGGAACATTTCGAAACAGTCTGAACCAAGCCGTGACTTCTTTTGTTCAAATGGGACAAGACCACCGCTAGAGATGTCATTTTCGGCAGTGGTTGGCTGATAAATCAACCACAAAGTTGAAACGATGAGGAAAACTGAAGATGAGCTTCAGATCTGGGGATGAATTCGCCAGCATCAGGGGATCAAGATCCACATATGAAAGGGATGACACATCTACTTGGTTCACACCAATGTATTTTTCCCGAATGCGTAGCAAGGGTTCCCGTTTCACTCTGGGGGTCTGGGGGCTGAGGGTGTGTTCGCTCGACGTTGCGTTTGTGGTCGCAACCGTTCGCAACCGTCCGCAACCGTTCGCGTGAGGACCGTATGGCCGTGCCTATGGGAAGTTTTACAGAGGTGGTCCTTTTTGGAGGTTTCAGACGTCTGGTTGCTTCGTTTCGCGTGGCAGGCGTGGCACTTCGTGACATTCAGACGTGTTCTGCAACGTGTCGAAAGTCGTTTTGCGTGGCAGGCGCAATACTTTTGCGACGTTTTCAGAAGATGTGTTGCAGTTTTCGTGGCAGGCGCAGCACTTTGGGCGTGTCCATCGCCATTTTTCGTGGCAGGCGCAGCACTTTAGACGTGTCCTTCTGCGTGTTTTTTGTAAATCGCATTGGCAGGGCTGCGTCAAGTGGTGACAAGGTGCAAATTCCGTGGCAGGCGTGGCATTTTCTGACATGTGCTGAAAATTGACGGAAGCCTCGCACGAAACATCGATTTTGAGGTTGCAAACTTTCAGGTTCTAAGGAAAACTCGTAGGAAAACGTTGATTTTGAAGCTGCAAAGTGTGAAAATTGGAGGAAGTCTCGCACGAAATGCTCGTTTTGGTGCTCCCACCTGTCTCTTCTCGCGTCTCTGGTTTTCCCGTGGCCTCGCCGTGTCTATGGGGGAAGCTGCAAAACTTGTCCTTTTGTTATGTTGCCAATTGTGAAAATTGGAGGAAGTCTCGCACAAAATGCTTGTTTTTCTGCATCCACGTGTCTTGTCTCGAGTCGCTGGTTTTCCTGTGGCGTCGCCGTGTCTATGGGGGAAGCTGGAAAACCTGTCCTATTCGAATGTGTCCAAGCAGGTTGTCATGTCGTTTTGCGTGGCAGGCGTGGCACTTTGTGACATTCCGAGCTGTTTGATAACGTGTTGAAAATGTCAAAATTGGAGGAAGTCTCGCACGAAATGCTCGTTTTTCTGCATCCATGCGTCTCATCTCGAGTCTCTGGTTTTTCCTGTGGCGTCGTCGTGTCTATGGGGGAAGCCGCAAAATCTCTCCTTTTCGAAGGTTTCCAAGCAGGTTGTCATGTCGTTTTGCGTGGCAGGCGTGGCACTTTCCTCACTCCACACTCCACACTTTACACACTCCACACTCTACACACTCCACACTCTACACACCACACTCTACACTTTCCACTCCAGACTCCACACTCTACACTTTACGCTCCACACTCCACACTTTACACTCCTCACTCCACACTCCACACTTTACACTCCACACTTTACACTCCTCACTCCACACTTTACACTCCACACTTTACACTCCACACTTCGCACTCCACACTTTCCACTCAACACTCCACACTCCACACTTTACACTCCTCACTCCACACTTTACACACTCCACACTTTACACTCCACCACACTTCTACCACTCCTACACTTTCCACTCCACTCCACACTCTCTTTACACACACACACTCTACACTTTCCACTCCAGACTCCACACTCTACACTTTACGCTCCACACTCCACACTTTACACTCCACACTCCACACTTTACACTCCACACTCCACACTTTACACTCCTCACTCCACACTCCACACTTTACACTCCTCACTCCACACTTTACACTCCACACTTCACACTTTCCACTCAACACTCCACACTCCACACTTTACACTCCTCACTCCACACTTTACACTCCACACTATACACTCCACACTCTACACTTTACTCCACACTTTAGACTCCACACCCCACACTCTACACTTTACACTCTACACTATACACTCTACACTTTACACTTTACACTCCACGCTTTCCACTTTACACTCCTCACTCCACACTTTACACTCCACATTTCACACTTTCCACTCAACACTCCACACTCCACACTTTACACTCCACACTCTACACTTTACACTCCACACTCCACACTCTACACTCCACACTTTACACTCCACACTCCACACTCTACACACCACACTCTACACTTTCCACTCCTCACTCCACACTTTACACTCCTCACTTTACATTCCACTCTCCTCACTCCACACTTTACACTCCTCACTTTACACTCCACACTCCACACTTTGCACTTTACACTCCTCACTCCACACTCTAGACTCTACACTCCACACTCCACACTCTACACTCCACACTTTACACTCCACACTCCACGCTTTGCACTTTACGCTCCTCACTCCACACTCTACACTCGACACTCCACACTCTACACTCCACACTCTACACTTTACACTCCATACTCCACACTCTACGCTTTACACTCCGCATTCTACACTTTACACACTCTACACTCCCTACTCCACACTCCTTACTTCACACTCCACACTCCACACTCTACACTTTCCACTCCACACTGCAGACTGGTAACAAGGGAAACATGTACAAGACTGTTCAAATAAACTATTGCAGAAAGGTATTGTGCGTCACTGCATAACCATGTGTTTTGACATCTGTACCATTAACATACGTGTGAGCATTCGGGTTCGTGGGTTTCATCTTGTTTCCGTAGGTGGTGGAAATGCTGAGCGGCGGTGGCGAGAAGAAGCCCACTACCAAGGACTGCATATCAATTGGGTGCCCTTGAGTGATTTGAGTGTTCAAGGGCGCTGGTTTGCTCTAGTTCAGAAGTTTTCACAAGTGTAAACTACAGGGTTCTTGGTTTATTTCTTCTATCGACCTCACTCATTTTCTATCCAGTTATCACTATGGTCAATTCTTTTACGAGTATGTCCGGTGATGGTTTAAGCCTCAAAACAAATTGGAAACATGAAGGTTACATCAGTTACATCCCCATTTTTGTAGCTTGTACCCTGCTGTTTCGTGTTTCAATCCCTTTGATTGTTGATTCCAGTCCATTGTTGTTGGTTTAACCCCGCTCTTCTTGTTTCCATTCCTTATGCTTTTCCGTTTAATCTCCCTAGTTTGTGCTCCTGCAACCCACATGTTTTCTTATTGAATTATTGAAATAGTTCCAGGTCCCTCGTTTCTGTTGCTTTCATCCCCATTTTTGCGACTGAAATCCTTATGTTTGGAACCAAACCTCGCAGGAAGCATTGCCCGGAGTGGACTTTGACCAGTCAATGGCAGATCTGCATGAGGCGGCCACATTGACACTCTTGGTTGATGCTTAGACCGATCCAAAAATGAGAATTCTGCCACCAAAAATGGGGATATCTATGGGTACAACTCTAGTTCGTACAGTGCTTACGTGTATGTTAAATCTATATTTATTGTTGCAACCATTTACTTGGTAGTGCGGTTTTAATCCCGGCTTGTACAATATTAAATATGTATAATCTCTATATATATATATAAGGTTGGTTGCACATGGGTTCTGGTGAGAATATACCAACTAATTCTGACTGGTTGATGGTGAATGCACTTTACGGTTGGGGATATACTGACTGGTTTAGTGGGGGTTATGTTCGGATCCAATATGTGAATCCTGCCCTCAAAAAAGTAGCAGGGGATGAGAGACAGTTTTGGGCTCTATATTTTGGGCGGTCGCTCTACATTTACCAAAGTTTAGCAACACCCGAGCGCGGGGTAGTGTGGAGATCGGAACATTTCGAAACAGTCTGAACCAAGCCGTGACTTCTTTTGTTCAAATGGGACAAGACCACCGCTAGAGATGTCATTTTCGGCAGTGGTTGGCTGATAAATCAACCACAAAGTTGAAACGATGAGGAAAACTGAAGATGAGCTTCAGATCTGGGGATGAATTCGCCAGCATCAGGGGATCAAGATCCACATATGAAAGGGATGACACATCTACTTGGTTCACACCAATGTATTTTTTCCGTAGGTGGTGGAAATGCTGAGCGGTGGTGGCGAGAAGAAGCCCACTACCAAGGACTGCATATCAATTGGGTGCCCTTGAGTGATTTGAGTGTTCAAGGGCGCTGGTTTGCTCTAGTTCAGAAGTTTTCACAAGTGTAAACTACAGGGTTCTTGGTTTATTTCTTCTATCGACCTCACTCATTTTCTATCCAGTTATCACTATGGTCAATTCTTTTACGAGTATGTCCGGTGATGGTTTAAGCCTCAAAACAAATTGGAAACATGAAGGTTACATCAGTTACATCCCCATTTTTGTAGCTTGTACCCTGCTGTTTCGTGTTTCAATCCCTTTGATTGTTGATTCCAGTCCATTGCTAGGTGAACCTCCTAAAAGGTGAGAAATTGGGGATCCCATGGAAAACCTCCAGATGGAGCCAGTGAAATCCTACTAAAATTTGCAAAAATCGTGGGTAAACCTCTGGTACTGACTAACAGTTAGCTATTGAAAATGGCCATAGAAATAGTGAGTTTTCCCATTAAAAATGGTGATTTCCCATAGTTATGTTAGTTTACCAGAGGGTATTTGTTCTATCTTTTCGGTGGTTGCTATAATCTGCGGTACATCGGAACACCATGCTATTGTAGCCAGTTCTTGGGGGATTGTCAATCCCTTTTCAAATGGATTTACATAGCCATTGTAAGGAATCCCGGATGATGAATTGTTTCAGTGATCTTTGGTAACCCCTACATCATACGATTTAATCCTGATAATATTGATACTATGGTGGCTTAACCCACTACTGATAGTTGTCGAGTGACATGATATTGGCAACACGATCACTGGGGATTATTTGCACGACAACCTGCTGAGGATATACCAGCTAGTAAAATGGCGTATAAACCACGAATGATGTGGTACTAACACATGTGTTTAGATATTGTGGCAAATTCAGTCATAAATCCCATTGTTGCGATGGCAAACCCAACCAAACGGGGATATCCTGGGACATCATACATTGGAAATATGACATAACCACCATTCTGCAATAAGTTCAATAGGGCCAATAGCCAATAGGGCTTATTTTGGGACATTATGTTGACTTGAGCAGCAACAAATGGTAATGGCACACAACCACTAGACCCAATAGTACAACATTTTGGGGATGCTTTTGAATACCCCCCATCGTAAAAGTGTGCAAACGAGAGAGATGGTGGCATTGAGCTTAGCACTTGAGTTTTATTAATAGTTTCCAAGGAATCCATGGCCACATGACCATTTGGGTAAACCTCGGGTACTACATAGCTCCAGTGAAATTAGATCCATCCCCTTGACATTTTGGATTTGCCAATGATTCCAATGATTGATGATAACCACTGGGGTATTTGTAACATCCCTGTGTTGGTTAGTTCATATCCTGTCATGATGACCTCAAACTGCGATGTCGAGTGCAAGAAGATGAAAGACTCAACCCAACAGGCACAGCTATGCTCAAAGAAATCCAATGACATTGCACAAATATGGAAGAATCCCCCCGTTATAACATATTTTCAAAACTAAGATAATTCGATCGAAAATCTCACATTGAAATCTGATGATATCTATATAGATTTCTTCATGGTGTTGATGATGATCATAATACTGGTGTTGATGATAACATATTAAAATAAATCTATGAAAAACCTCTCATGGAAATTTGATGATATATTAAATATATCGATTTTGTCCCTTGTTTTGTCTATCTTTTGGTGTCCTGTCCTCTTCCTACAGGACCGCGACGAAAGTTACGAAGACTCGATCGCCAACCTTCAAGAGGTGAGCGAAACTGGCCCTGGTTTGTAGAGAAAATCCCATGGGAAAATATAGTGGGTTTACCCAGAAAAACACATGAAACTCATGAAATATGTGGATTTAGGCAGCTGATTAAGCAATAAAGCAGAAAATGTTGGAATTTACCTGCTTAACTAGGTCAATCCTTTACTTTCATGGGCCATGTTCCATGGTTATGTTAAATTACAAAAGAGTCCAGGAAAATCGGGACAAAAGCCATCAAAAGTTTGATGGATTTAACCAAGTTTAAGCAGCCAAGACGCCATAATTTTGATCATCAAATACGTGCGTAGATTCTTCAAAATGACCCCTTCATTCAATTTTAGGACTGGTTAAACCATAAATGGTAAATCCATTGGAACCACCAAAAATGACAATCCTTGAAACATGTCTAAGGGTCGCCAAAAAAATCTATTGATGTCCTATTTGACCTGTCAAACTTGAGTGCCTCACTGAGGTGGTGGAAATCCTGAAAAATGGTCAGGCGGCAGGCGACCGGGCTGATGGGATGATTCCTCTGGCGGCGGTGACAATACCCTCTGGTAAACTAACATAACTATGGAAAATCACCATTTTCAATGGGTAAATCCACTATAAATGGCAATTTTCAATAGCTATGTTAGTTTACCAGGGGGTATGACAATGGAATCAAGTCTCAAAGGGGTGGAGTTCCTATTCCTGGGAGAGGTTCGGAATTCTGCAGCGCAGGAACTGCCGTTGAAGCTGCGGGACGGACAGCAGAGTCCGAAAAAAGGACGGTGCTTCTCCCGTCAGAAGCAGCGAATGGTCAGATGAAATGTCTATTTTCTATAGTTGGGAGATGGCATGTAAACTAGGCACCCAGCTCATTGTGGATGAACGATTAGAAGAAAGCCGTGGAAACCAGTGTTCAGAAGATTTGATTGTTGCCCCTATGGTCCCGTGTCTCAAGTTCGTGCAAGACGCACTTTGTAGTTGCAGCCTCATCATGGCTTTCCCAGTGTCAGCCATGTCATATCTCCCGATGCATATCACCAAAATCCTTCAATCTACAACACCAGCATACTGGTGGATGACTAGGTCACCCAAAAATTGCGCTCAAGCAGTCCCCAGTTTTTGAAAGGATTCTTGTGAACAGATGGCCATTACCATCCTTGACATCTGACTATTCACAAGATTGGATTTGATTAGAATCTCCATCAAGCCTCACCAAATGACCATTATTAGCCATTCTTATTAAATTCATTAACCAGTACTAAGCATGATTAACATTGATGAACATTGATGAAGCCATTCTCATGAAACCCTACCACTAACCCCCGACCTCATCATGGGCGATGGCTGCGGCCCTCCACGGCCACCACCACCACTGCCCAATGGCTGTCGGCGCCCACGACCCAGAGCTATAGGCCGTGGTCTTTTCGACGACTTGGGGATTTCGGAAGATTTTTGATTCACATAATAAAAAAAAGGAAAGACGGATTCGAGATGGTGAATTAGGATGAATTAGATCCAAAGAGGAGAAAATACGTTCATGCCAGTTTCTGGACCAATCATTGTAGAATTGTGTTTCGTGGTGACTCGTGATGTGCCGATTCACACAGTATTTTTGTTGATTAAAAGGTGCACAGATCTGAGCTTCACAAGAACCTGAAAAAGCCAACGGTTGCTCTGGGATGGATTGCAGCTGTTTTTGGCATGCAAACCACGGGAGCACTGGATTTTGACCCGTTTTCAGATGTTTTCATGGACATTAGACCTATGAAACCGGATAAACTGGCCATAAATTGGTGATAAAGTGATACACCATGAATTCTACTCACATTTGGTATAGAACATATATATATATAGCACTTTCATACATATTTGCCATGCCAGGAACGTGGACCCATACCCACAAGGTCACAACTGTATGACAGGGTCCACTGGTGGGCTTGAACTGACCGTAAAATAGAGATAAACCCGTCATAATTCATCCAACAGCCATCTATAATCCACTAGACACACCATGAAGTTATGACATGTTATGACTCATTATAAATCATACTACTCATACTACTCATACTACTCATACTACTCATACTACTCATACTACTCATACTACTCATACTACTCATACTACTCATACTACTCATACTACTCATACCATATCTATGACATATCAGGAACATGGAAACATGGACCCAGAAACCCAGAAACCCGTCACGGTCAAATTGGTGCCGCCAGAGCCGTTGCCGTCGACCGCACCAGCAGAAAGCTCCAGGCGATTGATGGCTGGGTGGTGACCCAAAACACGGACATTGAAGCAGTGAAAATGTGATCATGGTGAAAATCGGAGTGCAACCTCTACGTTTACACACCTTGAGGGATTCATCACTTCTGGGCTGTCAAACAGTGGTAAAAAAAAGTGGAAAGATGTTGGGAAACCTGACACAGATGCGATTACCCAGATGGAAGTGACAGCGTTGTGCAGACCCGAACATGTTGCAGGATTTCATGTTGATCGTGACATATAGTGACATATAGTGACATATAGTGAATGCTGGTCCTCAAACTGCCGGACGTAGTTTTCATGTGGTGCTAAGATGGGCTCGTTTGGCTGATGCTTCAAGTGTAGACCGGATAGATTGTGAAGCTTGATGTATGATGTTCAAAAACCATCTATGAATGAATATGAATGAAATCAAAAAAGAGATGTATACAGTAATGAAAATCCCATGGGCTAACTTGGCGAAGTGCGGAGCTGTGAGGCCAGAGGCAACTGTCGATCGGCCGCACACCCACTCCGGGATCTCCGAGGTGGTCTCTGGTGACCTGGGGGTAAAAAAAATGGAAGATAGGCCCCAATGGGCCCCAAAAAACTTCGAATGAGAAAAATGAGGGGAAAATGAGGGGAAAATGACGATGAATGGATTTGTTTCGATGTTTTTTTCGTTTTTTTGGAGGGCCCACTGCAGATGTTCAAAGCCAGATACAGCAGAGTTTCCAACCCGAATCGAGCCTGGCCGCCGGATCCTACTTGAGATGACCCTTTGGAAAGCAGGTACCATGTCGGGCAGAGGGTAAATTGACACATGGTCAACATAACTCGCAAGCGATTAGGGAAGTTGATGATTCAATGATGTCATATGATGTCATATGCTGTCCGATGAATCCTGAACCATGTTTCAATCATTGCCATTCTCACGAACACTGCAGACATCTGCAGACTGGACAAGTTGGACAAGGAAAAATGCGACACGTGTGACACGTGTGACACGTGTGACACATCCACGTGCGAAATCTGGACCTTAGGGGCCTGGTCCTGCCAGGGAACAGAAGAAGCTGCTGAGAGGCTGTGAGCCGGGGGCAATGCTGCATGAGTGGCATGTCCATGTGTGTGTGTTTATATATATATATGTGTATATATATATATGATCCTTTGTCATGATGTATCGTCGTTTATCATGCATTATTCTATTATCCTTAATTCTTCATTCTCATCAGGGATCGGGTTTCAACAGTAAGGCGATTTTTGGAGTGCCCTAATCTTCAGCAACACATTCTGCCATCAAACCTGAGAGGCCGGAAAGATACAGCTGCAGCTCATGTTGCCCGACATGTTTAGAAACCTGGTCTTTGGCACGCGTTGATGGTCGATGCACTGAACCATGTTTTAAAAACATTTTAAAGCTTCCTTTTCAGGAAGTGGCTAAGTGGCTATGGCAACCGCAGATCTGAAAAGGATCAGCTTCGGTAGGAATCGATTTGGTTTTGGTCCGATGATCTGAAGTGCAGAGACAACCGACCCGGATGTTGGTCTTGGAGCGACAAAGTCCGGCCTGGATTAAAGCTGCGGCTAGCAACCAGTGCAACATCTTAGCTTCAAAGTTCGAAATGCTCCCCAACTGATCCCCATCCGAAATTCTCCATTTCACCCATATTTCACCTATATTTTACCCATACTTCCATCCTCAACTCCGAAGTCCTGAGAGCCCAGGTTGCAAGTTGCGTTTGAAGTTGGAGCACGCCGAACGCGCCAGGGTCAAGGTGTGCATCGTCAATTTCTGCTGAATATCCCCAATTATAAGATGTCTTGTTTATTACATATATATATATATAGAGATAAAGACAATGATATAAATGTATATCTATGTATATGTAGAAACGGTATATGGTGATATTCCACCTGTATATATATATATACATACATACACATGCATGTACATATACATATACATATGTATGTATACATATACATATATACATGGATATATATATATATATGTGTGTATATATACATATATACATCCAGATTTCTTCACCATATCCCAAACTTTTGCCCCACCAACTTCCAGGCCCAAGAGCAGCTGGTGCGGCTTCAACAAGAACATCTCAGGCGACGCCGGGGCGAACCAACTGTCACCAGGTGAGCCATGAAAAATACCTTTGTTGATGAATGATTTATATCCTATTATAGGTAATTTATAGGATATATAGGATATTTCTATTATTGATTATAGGGAATTATATATGATTTATAGGATATATGGGATACTACTGATACTACCTGGGATGATTACTAGCCATGGAGATTGAACCAATGAATCATGGTGGTTTACTCTGGCATTCCTCCCTTGATGGATTATTGAAATCCCCGGTTATCCTGTGAGGGTTGAACCAACCAAGACTAGGTGGTGAACCGACATGGTGTACAAGGGCTTGATTGGGGTTACCTGTAAGCAGTAGGAGTCCAGCATTGAATGAGCATAAAGTGTCACCCCTATACCCGAAGGTTTCCATAAACAGACAGTTGCATCATTGGATCACTGGTCATGGCTTTCAAATGGCAAGATCATCCGAGTTGACTTCGGCGGAGCGGCTGGAATCCAAACCAAGTCTTGTTGGTTCACATCTCTCCTTCATCTTGTGACCCAGGATGCGACAAGCGTCCGGTTATGGAGGAGAATTGGCTTTGATCCCCAGGTAATCAGCTGACAATTGTTCATTTCAGGGATCCTGGCAATGTTGAAACTCTTCCTGGATCGAAATGTCCATTTTTTCGATATAGAATCCATCTCCATCTTTCCTGTCAGTGTTCATCTCCACGGTGCTGGGTAAGTCATGGTCATGGAGGTGTCCGACATGGCAAAAACCAGTTCTCCGATGGATCCAGGAGCCGATGCACCTGCGGCGCCGGCCCTATCCGCGCTGGCGGCGGATGAGGAGGTGGCCAGGTGCGCGGCACGCCGGGAGATCACCATGGCGATGGGTTGATCAGGGGAAAGCCAGCCAAATATGGTGATAAAATATGGTGATAGATGGCAAAATATAATAAAATATATGGAGATGTACAAAACTTATCAACTATAGATGAAGATTTGTGTAAGCCAACTAGAAGATGAGTGTGTTTGTTGCTATATGTGTTTTAATCATGAAAGTGGGTGCGACAAATGATGGGTAAAGTAAAGCCTAAAAATAAAGCATACCTCATTTTACCATGTCATTTTACCATTTTGGAGTTTATAAGCCTTAAAAGCTGCCTTGTTTTTTAATTTACCCCAATTATATAGCCTTTAGTAGTTCAAGGCTGACAGTGCGAACCCCCCACTTTTGAATTGGAAAATCGAAGAAAGTCGTCCAGAGTCTATACAGGACATAGATTTGGAAGTTTCAGTTGCCAGAGGTCGGTCTCCCCTTGTTGATGAGAAAAGAGGTGTGACCCCCATTAAATAGTCATTCAGGGTAAGAGATAATAAACGGTATACCAAATCGAACCAAACCTATTTGCCCGAAAGGGACACTATTGCAAGGGAGGTGCGGTTGTCAAAAACCAGCAGAAATGAACGTTCTAAACAAAATAAAATAGGGATTTGCAAACACAAATTTGGATTTCGAGCAACAAATTCACAGAATCTAAGCAGTTTGTTCCTTTAAAACCACGCAAAGAAAGGATCACTGGTAGTATTCATCCCAGTTAGACGTGCATTTGGCCAACAGTAGGATCACCACTAAAACGAAGCTTTCGCGTTGTTGGGATTGGATCCAACAGCAGAATCCCAATGTGATGAAATGACCAGATGAGGAGGTTTGATATACAGGTGACTCATCAAAAGATTGACGGTTGATACTGAGTTTGGATGTCTACAACTTAGCAGACTTAGCAGTCCTGAAAATGTGAGGTGCAGAGCAGTGCAGACATGAAACTGATCTGCAATGAGCTGATATCAATGTCAGGACCTTGGAAAGCTATCGAAGAGAGGCGCGACTCCCCTTGGCATAGAATTCCTACAACCGCAAAATGTGTGAAGAAGTTATAAACGGATATCCTGAGATCTAATTGTTCTGAGGCAACATCAAACCTTGATGGTATCCAATGGATGTGTTGAACCGAACAGCTTCTCTCGCATGTGCCGCAGGTGGCTTTCTTAAAGCAATCCCTGGCCGAGTCGAAAGAACAAGAGGCAGAGCATCTCAACAATGGGGGATTTCCATTCGCTGGATGCTTTCCTTCATGGAAAATCCATCTATAAATGGATGATAGCTGGGCGTACCTCCATTTTAGGAAACCCCTAATTTTTGTTTTCTGCTTGGGACTCGACCTAGATTCCACGCACCTGTTTTTTTTACGCGAAATTACATCGATGGAGACCCGGATTGTTTACTCTTAGGTCTATCGCAAACACATACTTCTTTTTCAAGTTCCCCGTGTCATCTATGGCTTTCTCCCACTGCACAGTATCTATTTGTTGTGACTCCGGCATTATTGTTCAGGTTTCACCTGTCATGTTTCATCCAGCAACAGCTGTCCGCAGCTGACTTAGCTTTCCAAATTTGGAAGCTCAGACAGCTGCACAGACTCTGCCATCGACCTTGCGCAAGGGTTCGCTACGTGAAGAGCTTCAGACGCTGCGGAAAGAACACGCTGAACGTGTCCAAGCACTGCAAGGTTCGCAGTTGGACAGCATGGCGACAAATATACAACAAACCTCCGGAAAGCGTTGGTAAGTCAGGGGTGAACAGATGTTTGAATGGTTTAGTTGCAGGAGATAAGCAACTAGAATCTTGAAAAAATGCAAAGGCTTGGACTGCAAACCAAACTCACATACCTTCGATGCGGAACAAGAAATGAGCTGTGTGCTAAGCCCCCAATTTTCTTGGATATTGTCGATATTGCAATGACTTATCGCTGAGCCGGCTGTCATGGTGCATCTGACGGTTTCCAAGATATCTCGGGTTATGACTTGTAGGACAGATGGCGACCCTCTTGCTGGACTTGGAGGTTGGGATTCAATTACACATTGTTGTCAAAGCCACTGTGGGGGTTTGCCAAATTTTGGCACCCCAAAATGTATGCATGATGAATACATATTCAATATTTTCTATATATTCTATTGACCATAATTATATACTTCAAAGTGAAAGAAAGTCTCCCTGGGTCTTCGTGAGCCATACCCAGGTTTCTCCAGGTTTCTCCAACCGGTGAATAAAGCTATACAATGGATCGACAGATTATATTTTTCTTCACAGGAGAAGGTTTCCTAAGAATTTGCTGCCAAAGGTTACCCAAATCTTTAGTCGTAAGACGCCCTGACATCTCCGACCCGATTTCGACCGGGTCGGCACCGACCAGGCCAAAGATGCTTCCTCGCGGTGAAAACAATGGTGGGGGCCGGGTGTGGCAGGATTTTGGCTCGATGGAAGACATGTAGAAAAGATGTATTTCATATTATATATATATTGTGTTTTTTTAACATATCCTCATGAAAATGGGGTCAGCTTAAGAATTTGATTGATTTGTTGGGGCGTTGTGTGTCAAGTAGATGCAAGAATATATGAAGACGGACGAGCAGATACATGCCATATAGTTTGGCAAATCCAATAATATGCCTCCGCAAAGTTTAGCGGAAATAGGTGGTAAACAGCCTCAATTGGAGGCTGATTATTGGCTTTCCCACATGCTGCTCACCCGATTGGAAATCCGCATCCACAGCGACGGCCCAAACCAACCGCCCCACGCGGGACCTGGCCCACGGGTGGTTCGGCAGCCCAGACGCGAACACTGGTTGGAGTTGTGTAGGGATAGCCATGGAATATCATGGTGTGTTTTACACGGTCCCAGTTGGTTCGATATCAAGTTGATCTCCGTTTCAACAGGGATTTCTTGTAGCATGGCAAGTATGCTCGTGGCGATGCCACTGACATCCCATGATTCTGTCCCAGTGTTGAAAGGCGGGAGACCCACAATCAGACTTCAACCTGTAGATTTGTTTCTGCTTAAACAACAACACCAAGTCGGCCACGAACTGGGAAGATCCGCCATTTGTTGGGATGCACTGAGTGTTCTAAAGTAAAATGGGTGGAATCTTTAGAACACTCAGTAAGATCAAGATCGCTTCATTGGAATCTGCTGAGGCTCGACAGAAGTGCTTGGCCTTATCCCAACTGTGCCAGTTCTCCCAAGTATTCAATCGGGTACTCTTTGTCAAAAATTGTCATGCGCTACAACTTTCTGGTCATCAAAGAGCTATCAGGCACTTGGAAACATGTTTTGTTCCCGACCTGCCAGGTGAGGGTCTCTAGATTTTAACAAAGGTGCAACTCATTCTCCTTCTTCTTCTTTTTGTCCTCATCTCTGCCTTTGCTATCTATGCCTTGTGACCCAAACTCCATATCGCGAGCTCCGGATGCAGTGGGCCACGCCTGGACCCGAACTTATGCCAAAGAGAATGCCAGACAGAACGTCAGAATAGATGTCAGATAGAATGGGTGATTAATGGAGATTCATAGGGGATTAAGGGGGTACCCTCCTTACTATTCTGTCCCAGTTTGTGATTGAACATGACCCACTTAGTTCGAGGATAACTCCCTGTTTTTTTCATGGATGGAAGAAATCCTGCCTGCACCAGTTAGTAACTATTACGGTCAATAATGGGATTACAGCGGGATAAACCAGCTAGCAATTGGTGCAGGATTTCTTCCATCCACAGCATGTCAAACTGCCAGAGGGTGAACGAAAAAAGCTGCTCTGTGAATTGAAAGCAAAAGCTTGGGATGTGAAAAACAGAATTACCCCTACTTCGAGTGATCCTATCCTGACGCACTGTTCTGACATAATTTATGATATATCATCTGGAAATTTATATGTATGTATATATATATACACATATTTATAATATATATATATATATATGGAATATATGTTCTGACAGTCTATCTGACATCTATTCTGACATACTATTTGGCATTCTAGTTTTGATCGCATGTTGCCACCCAGGCAGCTGTGCCATGGGCTGTGGCAACTCAAAGCCACCAGAGGCAGCTCTGCCAGCTTTGCGGTTTTGGCGAAGCATGAAACCATGGAGATATGAACCATGAAATGATCGTGTTTTTTATGGATGTTTATAAGATATTAGTCATTAAACATCATTAAACTCAAACATGATAGTGGTTTTTGTGGATGTTTATCGGATATTAAGCGTTAAACTTGATGAATGATAGTGATATTAACCATGAAACATCCAGGTTTTAAACGGATATTTTGTGAGATATATAAGCAACTATAGTCAGAAATTGGATTTAAAAAGCCCAGTTCTTCAGGGATGGTCATCAAACCATATGGTGATTAATAGTTTGTTTGGTATTGATGGTTAGTCGGATAGTAGATCATTATCAACAAATGATAGTGGTGGTGTATTGCCGAGAGCAATATTGATACATAGGACTAGCAACCGGCAATAATCATAGTAATTGGAATAGTTCACTAGTAAGAACCGATGATAGCAACACCGAATGGGACTAGTTACTGAATTATACCAGTGGTAATATCAATAAACGGGCTGCTTCATTGTGTGTAACTAATCAGCTAGAAGTGTATGTTTATTTGCGATGATGATAGAAAAATTGATAGCCCCTGGGGCACTTAGCTGACCCGCCAAAAGTTCAGCCCATCACACATTTTTTGGGGGGATGGTTTCATTTTGATGTGGTTGGCCCTAGCCCATATCCCCCAATGACTTCCTAACGGGATCTATGGCTCCCCTAGGCGGCGAGCCCAGAACAGGGCGGACATCCTTCGCAGCCACCGTCGCATCAGCAGTGCCTGGCATCAAAAATGGTTGAAAACTCGACCGTTTGAATTGGGGGATGAATATCTACCAGCGATGTGGATGTGACAAGGTAACCAGGATTTTGATCACCATGTCAGAATCTTGACAGAAAGTCCAAGGGAAGCAGAAAAACCGGAAGTTCACATAATCAAAAAAAGTAGTTGGTTTGGAGAAAAACCAAAGAAAGAGATTGAAAGGAAATCTGGATGCTGGTCGGGATGACATTTTGGTGGCAAGACCCTGCGGTTCATTTTTTGGTGTCATATCTTGAAGTGTTGTGAGCCCTGACTGTCCAATCCCAGCACTTTAGACCTAAATTGCACCGCTGTCTTCGGCGCAGTCCAGTCACAGTTTCTTTCCCATGTTTTTATATCATCAGTATGTCCAACTGGCATCGGAGTGATGAACCCTCCGAAGCGTTGATCCTGCAATTTGCGATCAAACCAAGTTGCAAGTTGCGGTACGTAGAAATCACAGTAGAAATCACAGAATACCAATAGAATACCCAAAGGTTTAGCACGGGAACCTCCTCATGGCGCTCAGGCCCGTGGTACCAGCACCACAAGCATCCCCTGCCACTGTGAGGCGGAAATCCACCAGAACCCAGTGAGATATCAAAGATATCTGTAGAATTCTATAGATAGGAGCTAGATATTGGGAGCCGTAAGCACATCCAAGTGATAAAAGTGAGAGTAATCTCAAAGTCTTCTGAAAATCGCATCGATGTCTTTCAATATGATATTATGGTCACCCCACCAAAGGTCTTTCCAAGTATTTTCTGCCTGCGGCAAATCTTGGGGGCGAGCGTACGTACCACATTGAAACTAGGGAGATTCGGATCTACAGGGAATGATCCTGACATTGTCCAGCAAACGGAGGAATAAGACAGCTGGTTGTTGAAGATCTACCAGCTATTTGCATGCATGAGACAGACCCACTTCTTAGAGTCAGCACATGTCCATATATTTGTACTGGCTGGACGAAGTTTCAGGTGGGATGAGGGGAGTGGTGGAAAACCCTGAAGCAATACTCAAGGGAAGAGACAGCTCGCGAACTGATTTGATTTGCATCTTTGCGCCATGTCACAACAATGATTGCATCGATCAACGTGTTAAGGTCTGCTACATTCCCACACAAAGTTGTTGCATGTTGGGTTCATCGGAATTTTGGAGGGGTCATTCATGGATTTTCAGCCTGGAGATCGCTGCCAGGAGTGACAAAGTCATTGTGCCTCGCAGCTTTCGTTTGCTGGACGAATTGGATGCTTGGGCGATACAGTTCCACAATGTGATTTAGTTTTGATGTTTCGTGTCATACTGTATCGTTACCGTATATCGCATCATATTTCCATGAATGGGGCCTACCAATTTTTGAGGACTTCGTGGTAGCAAACCCATGACCGTACCATGTCGGATGCTCCAGGTCCCCAGGTTGATCAAGTTGTGGAAGTGTTTGGAAGTGCTGTTATTTCATGAATTTCGTGAATTGAAAAACGCATCGACGCTGCATCCCTCTTGTATAGACCATGGAACTGTCTGGAACTGTCTGGAACTGTCTGGAACTGTCTGGAACTGTGAGATCTGAGAAGCTCCTGAGGAGAAAGGACAGAAGTGTGAACGAGCATCGCATCTTTCATGGGGCTTGGCCTATGATGATGAATCTCGATGGTGAACTCCACTGGCCATCATGAAAATACAGGGCTAGTGAGCGGCTAGTGCAGCCTGCAAACCCCCTGCTTTGTTGAAATTTGGAATGTTGAATGAAAAACCTACCACAAGATGTCTGATACCATTGTCTAGTTGTGCTACTATCTTTGGCGAAAATCCATCAAAATGCTCTGAACCACTTGGGAACATTCTGTGGCAATCCGATATCAGCATCATGGTTTTCCACTTAAAACCGACCATCAAATGGGAGTGTTTTTTTCTGAAACATCCCATTCTTCAAATGAAAAACCTAGCAACATGCAGCCAATTTGGAATGGAGGCACTGTCATCGAATTCGGTCCAGCTGAGCTGAGGACATCACACTGACGACTTGGAATGGCACCATTTTCGGACCCATCGATACAGCCTTTGACAATCGCATCTACTCCCTAGTGATCGCCACTCGGAGCTTTGCAGAATGGGTTTAGGGAGGTTTTTATGTATTAGTTATGTATTACCAAGGTGAGAAACTTCCAAAACTCTCCAAAACTCTCCAAAATCACCAAGTGCATGTGGTGATTGGCTCAGATTGGTTCAGTGATTTTCATGTTTTGATACATATCATACCACCAATATCCATCATCCATCAGATCCACCAGATCCACCAGATCCAAACCCCACAGATCCCACAGATTTCAGCGTCGATTTGGCGAGGTCACGGGGCCCAGCTATCCCGACGTCCTGCCGGAAGTGCGCTTCACGGCGGGGATCAACATGACGTGTGTGGAGCCCGATGGACAGGTGAAACCTGCGTGGGGAGTTCTAGGCGCCGCTGACCACGGGGGTTCCAGCTGTTGGAGAAATGTTGGAGAAAGGATCATGTGATTCCCATGTGATTCCCTGGGAGAGGGAAAAATTGTTTGGGATGTTGGACTGATCAAATTTGACGAGCGCTGATGAGTTTTGGTCAACTGAGTACCTGAGTCTTTGGATTCTTTGGACATGGGGCTTGGGAGGACCACCGACTCCGCAGGTAATTGGAAGAGAGAGTACACCATTGAGACAGTCCTAGATGCACTTCGACGCGAGATGTCGGGGTCTCAAGCCCGGCTGATGGATACTTTCCAGATACGAATGATCTCTAAATATCCCAAACCACAAATTCAAAGTTATTGTAGTAGCAGGTAGATTCTTTGGGTTGTACTCGGAAATCCTGATGTTCCTGTTGAAATCTGTTGAAAACAGGTATTTTCCACTGCCAGGGAAAAGAAACGAGGGTACTCATTGAGCCCTTGCCATCATTGTCATCGCCAGGTGCAGCCCCAACAACCGCCATTTGCAGCAGCCTGACACTGCCCCACCGGCGGGAAACGGCTAGCCCGAGCGGTCGAGGTGCTGGGGCACTGCTGGTGATACGTGTTTTGGAGATCATGGAATAAGATGATATAATGATATTTACTATAGAGTTTGGTTCCAGATTTCAAAATCGCAGATAAATGAATTACATATGACAATCAAATACCTCTTGAGAATTTGACACCATCACCAGTAGAACTTGATTCTGCATGAGTTCTGTGATATGATGTGACAGGTCCAAGTTTTACTGAGGACATGACTCTCCCATCGAAAGCAGTTGGGTCAGGTGGCACGCGACTCGCTGAAGGGCAGTTCCGCGTGGTTTCGACAGCTCCACTGAGGAAACGAAATCTGTTTTGGATGGTTCATGGTAGCGTCGGCAAAGGTCTGAATCAACACAAACTGTATTGTTAGTTAGACATAAATCATGCAACAGATATGCATATTTGCTGTATATAGTTTGGTATATTTGTTCGCAAAATGTTGTGGCAACGAAAAACCATCCAAAGAACCATCACGTTTGAGCCATTGAGCTCACGTTGTGGCACTAAGCCGCCGCACTCCGCAGCGGCGTCACGTTGCGGCAGCGCTTCAGCGAGGACCTTTAAGGGAAGATGGAAAAAAATGTAAAAATCGGTGAACATGATGAAACATGATGAACATGGAGAAGAAAACACCAAAATACGGCAACAAACAATAGGGAATCCTGTTGTCCATTTGTAATTAATTCCCCAAACAGCTCTTGAGCTGAATGGGGTTCTCAATTCTTGCTAGGAACGGCCTTTGTTCCCTCATGATTTGCTGGCTCCTCCTGGTTCCGGCTGGGGTTCCGGTGCTTGTCTCCCTTCTCTCTTCTTTCTTTGCTCAGGAAAGGGGTTCTGTTCCATCATGATTTGCTGGTTCCTCTTGGTTCCGGCCGGGGTTCCGGTGCTGGTCTCCCTTCTTCTCTCTTCTTTGCTCAGGAAAGGGGTTCTGTTCCATCATGATCTGCTGGTTCTTCCTGGTTCCGGCTGGGGTTCCGGTGCTTGTCTCCCTTCTTCTCTCATCTTTCTTTCCTCAGGAAAGGGGTTCTGTTCCATCATGATTCGCTGGTTCCTCTTGGTTCCGGCTCGGGTTCCGGTGCTTGTCTCCCTTCTTCTCTTCTTCCTTTCCTCAGGAAAGGGGTTTTGTTTCATCATGATTTGCTGGTTCCTCTTGGTTCCGGCTCGGGTTCCGGTGCTTGTCTCCCTTCTTCTCTCTTCTTCCTTTCCTCAGGAAAGGGGTTTTGTTTCATCATGATTTGCTGGTTCCTCTTGGTTCCGGCTCGGGTTCCGGTGCTTGTCTCCCTTCTTCTCTCTTCTTCCTTTCCTCAGGAAAGGGGTTTTGTTTCATCATGATTTGCTGGTTCCTCTTGGTTCCGGCTCGGGTTCCGGTGCTTGTTTCCCTTCTTCTCTCTTCTTTGGTTCCGGTGCTTGCCTCCCTTCTTCTCTCTTCTTTCTCTTTCTTTCCTCAGGAAAGGGGTTCTGTTCCATCATGATTTGCTGGTTCCTCCTGGTTCCGGCTGGGGTTCCGGTGCTTGTCTGTCTTCTTCTCTCTTCTTTCTTTTCTCAGGAAAAGGAGTCTGTTCCATCATGGATTTCCTGGTTCCGGCTGCCTGGGGCTGGGGTTGCGGTGCTTGTCTCCCTTCTTCTCCCTTTTTTCTCTCAGAAGACAGGAGTGCCAGACAGTTCCATGAATTCTGAATTGCATATGACCTTGATGGAAACATGCGATGTTGCTGTTTGGGGTCTATGCTGGTGTAATTCTTTTCCTCTGGAAAAATGGTGTGAAATCGGTGAAGTCACCTAGGCAAGAGTATTTGAGCTGAGAAATCTTCGGCTTTCGTCAGGCTGTTCAACTTTGTTACTAGAGCGAGGCAACCCATGAACATTCACAATGAAGCCCACGCTGGATGTTGTTTACAGGAAACTATGCTCACATGTTTCCCTTTTCATCTACAATCCTTGGGAATCTTCCGAAGAATCTTGAGGATCTTTGGCTATTGAGAGCATCCCAGCAGCCAAGAAACAAAGCTGCTGCGACGTGAGAAACGCTGCGTTTCACGAGAATTCCAAGCCGCTGGGACTCAAGTGAACATGATTTTTCCCTCTGCGGCTGAAATGTTGAAGCGGAAGATAGTCATCCCAGAAACAATTGGGACCATCATGGAGCTATTGAGATGATCCCAAGCGCTACATGAGTATTGGAGGCCCTATCCCGAAACACCGCAATACTTCATGGATATGAGACAACTTGAGAGCAACAAACTAATTAATCAGCAAATTTTATGTATCGACAGTTGGGTCACCCTGTGCCTTGAGTCCGGTGCGGGACGTGTAGCTGTGTGGGGAAGGCCGGCTCAAGCCGTTGCCCCAGAGGCTCGAGTGACTCATAAACTCAGCGTGCTGACATTGAACTCTCAGATTTCACAACTGATCTACACCTTTGAAGTAGAGCTCCAACATGGCAACTGTGTTAACTCCCCGTCGCTTTGACAGAGCATGATTAAGCATGGACCTATGGTACGCCAGGGAGCCTTTCCCCCAGTGTCCCTGGCGCCGAGAGAACATCGGGACGTCCTGTTGTGGGTGACACTCCAGGAGTTTCTATTGTGAGAAGCTGAACGGGAGCTGTGAACAAGATCCTCCACATCCAAATGTTGGGTATCTGCAGTATCATATGAATCATATCCCAATATTTTGGTTATTGGATGCAATTAGGTCTTATCTTCCACTTATCCGTGATCCTTTTCCAAACCGCCCATCACATGGCATTCTAGACAAGCTTATTGATGTTCGAAAACCATTCCTTGCGCAAGTGGATGATCACGTACAAGTGAGGCGAACTCTGTGGTCACCCAAGGACGTCTATCTGGTGTCGCAGGGTCTGATCGATGGTTTCAATGGTGCTACACCATGCTATACTTGGAGGTACAGCCAGTTATATAAGCTATATATTGCCTTATATTGCCTATAGCTCTAGTTATTTATGGGTTATATAATGTTATATAATGTTACATGGGTTATATATAGTCTTTGAACGGGATTATCCACCCGATTTATGGCAATTTGAATCGGGATGATGATAGCTATGAGACTTTGGGGGCACCTAATTTTCAGATAAAGCCAGTGGCGTCGATGGTTCCATGGGATGTTTTTGAACAAATTTCTGGTCGGCTGGTGGAGCCGTCTACGTTGGTTTGATTTGAGTTTCCTTCTGTCATCGGGTGGGAAGATGGTGAGTTGACCTTCACAGGTCAAATATTTCTTGGGAGTTCAGATGGCAATCAAAAATTGCAGTTCTTGGGGGTGATTTTGACCCATAACCCACATCAACCCCATGCAGAAGAATACTTAACTCCTGATTTTCGATCATTGATTTTGATCATTGATGATTATATGGGTGTGTCCGACAATGGTGCATTCCCTCCCAAAATGGATATGTCCAAAAATCGAGTATGCCAAAAATTGTGCTTTAATGGTGAGAATCATGACAAACTACTGCTTTAATGGTGAGAATCATGACAAACTAGTGAAATTGGGGGTACCCTACTTTCAGACAAACCCAACTTGCAAGTGAGCAGGGAATGTGATGATGAAGTAGTGGATGTGGGGCCCAGTTTTGGAGAAAACCATATCACCCATATCCTCAGTGATGGCTAAATCCTGCCATGATCATTGGCAACCTGGTGATGATGCACTGCCGATCATTGCCCAGCCGCACCGCAGAGCACCGCAGGGCACCGCGGGGCACCCTGCACCGCTGTCTGTCCGAAGCGACAAGATGGAGAGGGAAAGGTTCCAAGCAGGTAATGAAAAATTGCTTCCGGTGATATGTTATCCAATTATTTCTCTATCATTTAGCATGGTTTGCTTATGACATCTTTTTAGCTGCGAGCCCAAAAAGGTTTTTTGATTGGGGCCAGATTTAGCTCGGCGCCACGAAGCCTGTGGTCACGGTGCGACGATGCAATTTGTTTGGATCATAGGGAAGTATCGGTCTGTAGAATTGATGGTATTGGGAAAAGCAGTAAAGTCAACGAAAATACAAAAAGGTTTGGAAGTTACTATGAATGATCCAGATGGGTACTGCCGTCAATTTCTGCACCCAAAATTGCCTGGGTACTGCAGCCCAGTGGATACCTTGACGACTGAGGATCAAGGGGGGATTGAGGGTACCCGCTTTCTTCATAGGTTTCATCCCTGTGAATCACTAACAATGCACGCACCATGACCGGGACCGTGCCGTGCCGCCGTGGCGACTCAATTTTAGCGCTGAAAAATGGGGAAGGAATCAGCATGATGAGTAGCTTAGAAATTCTTCGGGAAATTCTTCGGCATGGGTACCTCACCATAAATTTGATGGTTGATCCTGGGACCATCACAGAACGACAGTACTATAAACGATCCAGATGACATGTTTCTCTTGCCTGGCGCACGGAGGGGTCAGAACTGAAAATTCTGAAATTTATTCGTGTTTGATCAGTTTTTGACAGCCCAGAGTCTATTGCTGTTGTTTCGCACATTCACAGCCTCCTGCAGCTGCCTTTGACCTCTGGTGCTACGAGAGATGCCTATTTTGGAAGGTTTCAGGTAAAATGAGCATTTTCGTGGGATCGTCGGAATGCTCTATAGGTTACTCGGTTACCCAAAGAAAAAAAACTTGTGGGTAGCAACTGCTCTGTGGCCGCTTCCCTGGATGCACGCCATGGTCGCCATCTCAATGAAGGCAGGTTGTGGCAATGGCTGAGACAGAAACAGAATCGAACAGCCTAAGAAGTCTACTTGGAAAGCACGCTTGTATTCGCAGGAATTGAACATGTTTATTCTTTTCCAACTCAAAGTCATTAATGCTGCATTTCTTGCGAGTCATGTAGCAACGCAGGACTCTTCACTTCCATAGCTTTCACATGGACCATGGATTTCTTGTGCACACGTGGCGTGACTCGTGTCCAGGAGTCTCTATCCCTCAGAAAAATCACAGCCCGGATTTCAGTCTCTCGGCTCGAAGCTGGCTGCGGCCGGACTGAGCATTCCACGGCGCCCAAAAGATCAAGATGCCTTCTGATAAGTACTTCAGAGAAACGGCATGAAACAGCCATACTTTCAGAAGTTAGAAGATTTAATGAAGATTTCAGAAGCATCGGACAAATAATCACCAGAGGTTTGGATCCTTTCAACATTGATAACTCCTTTTTTATGACTCAAATCTAATTTTGTCCACTTTTAAATCTCAATTTTCGTCGAACCGGCTTCACTGGCGCAGGCTCTGAAAGACTGGCAGATGTCGCTGGAGCTCCTTCGGTCCATCCCAGGCGGGAAACAACAACTGCACCATGGCAATTCCCTCAATCATCTAGCAAT